ATATATATATATACATATATATATATACAAAATAGATATAGAAAAGAGGATGTATTATAAATAATCTATATATGCGACGAATAGTTAGTAATGCTTATATACAGTCTTCACAATTGCTTTACTGCTCATTTGTCTGCTGAATGTTTGCGTAGAATGATCTTAGCATAGTGAAAAATTTCCGTCCACCAAACACAGAATCTTCTTTGTTGTTATCGACGCTACCAATTTTTCTTTAAATTTCAACATTTTTTTCTCTACATCGGATATCTTAACAATCTATATAATCAAAGGTATTGTTTAAATATGTTTAAATCTTTTTTGTATGTAATGGATTTTATTGTGTCTCTATTTTATTTTTAATTGTTTACAGTAATTTATCAATTTGACAAGTAGTGATGGCTTTTAGTAGTTATTTTTTTAGTGTTTATTTTTGTTGACGAGTATTTTCTGAGTATTTTAATACTTCTTCTCTTATATAAATAGTATAATACTTATATAAGTAGGTCATACATAACTATCAAATAAAATAAATAAAAATATTAAAAAATTTCCTAATATTTTATTTCTTATTATTTTTTAAGGGGAAATTGAAAATGCAGTTTTATTATAATTGAATTTAAGCAATTTATGATCGCTCTCGAGGTCAACTGCTAATTATAAATGTTATGTTATATATATCTGTTTTGTTATAAGTATTATATAATAAATTCTTACAATAAAATTAATATTTATATGAAAATAAAAGATTCAATGAAAATAAAAGATTATGCAATAAAACCGTCATAGTTTTAATGATGTGATAAAAATCAATAAGTACAACATATATTTACATACACATATATCTCATATATTTTGATAATCAATTTTAATTCGTTTATTTAGAATAATTAAAACACTCTATTTACGACATATTACTGTAGAGTAACATTGTTGGAACGCATTCAGAATCTCATATTTACGATGGAAGATTTAAATATATCTAACGAAACTGTTGAACATGATCAAAAGGTAAGTGTAAAATCACGTAGCGATTTATTGATGTGTCTAATTTTTATTATATTTTAAGAAAAAAGTTATAAATGTAGTGTTTTGCGTGTGTATGTGTGTGTGTGTGTATGTGTGTGTGTGTGTGTTCGCGATCTTTTAAATTAAAGACATATAATGCAGAGCAATAAACAATTAAAACAATCTGATTTGTATGTTACAGAATTTTACTGTAGAAAATGGCATTTATAAGGGACCAGTAAAGCATAATATGAATAAATACAAGAGTCTCGGAGAAAAGTTATGGATCAGAATTAAAAGTCACGGGAACAAAATTGCATATGTAAGTCATGTTTATAAGCAACATTAATATATAGTATAATACACAGAATTTATCAGAAAAGTAGATTTCAAATTTTTTTAATTTATGTCTATCTAAATAAGAAAAGAGATTTATTAAAAATATATTCTGGAATAAAAAAGATTCATATTAATAATAATGAATATAAATTGCCCCGTTGGTTCTACCAATCTATTTATTTTGTACGATATTAAATTAAAATTTACCAAAATATAAGATAAATATAAGACAAATACACTAAGGAGAGAATTCATATATCGTATTCATATAATATATATAGAAGATTACTAATATTTCCATATTAAAAACTTCGATCGAATGTTTCATGCGAATATTTAATTGAGTCAATTTTGTTTGCAGAGCTGTTTATAACGTAATTAGAAGCAAATGCAAAGAAAGAAACATTGAAATTACCATTATTTTGTAATATATATTTTTATATGTAAAAATTTATTTAATAATTTATTCATTTTGTAAATTAATATTTTACTTTTGTGTATAATAATTTTAAAATATCTAAAGATATTTTACATTTATAAATTGTTACAAGTTAAACACCCATTGATTAAAAATATATTATTTTAGATTAATTAAAATAAGATATAAAAGGTCATAAAAAATTTATCTAAAATAATTTAATTGTAAAGTGCTAAGACAAATATATGAAAGAAATTACAAAACAACTAAAATATGGATTTAATCACAGATAACCGTACAAACGTGATGAATCACGTTTCCATTACAATAGACAATAATCTCTAACTAGCAAAGTCACGTAATAGCGAATCATCGTCAAAGTGCAGAAAACAATAAAAAATATTATTGAATAAATCGTTAAAATTTAACAAATTTTAATTAAATTTTAGTTAAATTTGACGTCATTTATAAAGATACTAATACATTCTTTTATCACATGTTTTATAATACCATTCAATAAATTTAATGTCAAAATAATTTTTTATTTAATATTATGTAACACGTATATTAGCAAATATTCACAAAAAAATTTAGAAACAAATATATAAAAAATTTTAACTATAATTTTAAAATAATCGCGGAATATTAAGCATAATACTAACAACAACATTATAAATAAAATTGTTATAAATAAAATTTATAATTTAATATTATCAAAAATTTTTTTGTTTTAAACCTATTCATGAACGGTAATTATTAATAATAAATACCTTAGAGTTAGATTAATTTTTTCCGTACAATTCAATAAATGTTTCTAAAAAAAGAACAAATCCGAAAAAGAATTCTGAAAGCGAATCAAAATAAAATTCTTTAAAAATTGATTACGATCATATACAGTTTTTGTAAATTTTAATTTTGATTATTAATTAGTAAAAGATATATATTTTAGAGTTGTGAATAGTTCTTTTAATCGCGAACTAATGATTCTGCAATAATTAATTTGTAGTGTTTTGAAACATCTTTTATAATAATATACAGTTGGACGCATGCACCGAAGAAACAATCACATACGCGGAACTGCAAGATAAAGTTGTGAGATGTGCCTTGTGGTTTCAAAAACAAGGAATTAAATCCGGTGACGTTATTAGCCTGTGCACAGGCAATCATCTCAACTCCATCGTACCTTGTCTTTCAGCAGCTTATATTAACGCAATCTTCAATCCGTGGAATGAAAACATGGACTTGCGTAAGTTCTTTCTGAATTATCAAATATTCCATGTTTTTTTTTGTATTTGATTGAATTATATTTGATTAAATTCGAAATAATTATTTCATTATTTATTTATTAATAACAGTGCAAGTGAGTCCAATTTTAATATATCTTCTATTTTAATATATCCTAATACTTAGCGCGTAATATTTATTTTTTTATTATTTATGAATTATTTGCCATCAGACACTGCGCTACACGTTTTACGATTGACCACGCCAAAAGTGATCTTCTGCAGTGAGAAAGCAGTGGATGTTATTTTGAGCGCGATAAAAGAAGAGAAATGCAATCCCACGATAGTGATTTTTGGCAAGCATGTCGATGTAATTTCGTTCTTCGATATTCTGAGAAATTGCAATGATGTAGAAGTAGCAAATTTTCGTTACATTGAGCTCGACGATATAAAAAAGACAGCGTGCATTTTGCATTCGTCGGGCACTACAGGGATGCCGAAAGGTGTCGAACTATCCAATTATGCACTATTAATCACTTATAAAAATATTTTGGATGTGGCTAACACGACATTACTTTGGTTTTCTTCTCTTTATTGGATAACTGGGACAATACTGAACTTGAATATGATCATGCAAGGCAGCTTAGCGATCCTCTATCCAGAATTTAACGAGGAGATTACTTGTCGATTAATTGAAAAATACAAAGTAATAATATGTTATATATAAATATTCTAATAAAATATAATGTTCCACAGTAATATAAATAAGTAAAAATAAAAAATAGCTTCCTACTATAAATAAGTTATCGCAGTAGTTTATAAAGTTTTCTTGCTCTTGTAAAATCTATAACAAAGTTGAACTGAATTGGTTTTCTTCAAGCATACTTTAGCATTTTTAAATTAAGCAAACAATTGACACAATAATTTATTATTATTAATAGTCCTACTAATTTTTATAAAAACTTCTCGTTCAATGTGAATAATAAATTGCATTTTTATAATTGATAATGAATTAAACATGATAATATCTTGCAATCAAGTGCAAAGTTTATTCTTTTATATAATTATGTAATTATAAGAAAGAATTAAAATCGTGATTAATGATATCTACTTATATGTATATATTATTAGCGTTATATTTAGAAGTAGTTTGCGCACAATATGATATAATTCAGAAATATAAATTATTTTGTTATCTAGGTATCATTTATTTTTCTTAGCACAAGCATGATCAATCGATTTCTTAAAGCGGGTTATGTAAAAAAATATTTTTTATCATCTTTAAAAATTATATTGAGCGGTGGTGCAATAATTAAGCCGAAAGTACAGGAAGAATTGAGATGTATTTTACCACATGTCGACATATTGCACACTTATGGTAAATATCGATATAATGCAATATATTAGTATATACTATTAATGTGTGTTATAAAATTTTAATTATTTCTTTTGTTTTAAGGAATGACGGAAGTCAGTTTTATAACATGTCAATTATCGAGTCACAAAAACGGATCTTGCGGTGTGGTAATCGAGAATGTGCAAATGAAGATCATAGATCCCGAAAACGGAAAAATTCTTGGTCCGAATCAATCAGGAGAAATATGGGTAAAATCTATAACTATGATGAATGGTTATTATAGAAATCCTGAGGCAACAAAATATACGATTGATGAGGAAGGTAAAGATTTCTGTTATAACAATAATCATAAACATAATTAACATGATTAAAAAAATTAATTACAATTAATATATTTAAAAACTAAATAAATTATATTTTATATTAAATTAAAAAAATATATAATAATGCTATGAAAAACTCTAATCTGGTATTATATTATGTATCTGTAAATTTAAAAAATAGGATGGTTGCACACGGGTGATATCGGTTGTATAGACGAAGATGGAGAATTGTTCATTACCGGCAGAATAAAAGAACTTATAAAGTACAGAGGATATCAGATCTGTTCTGCAGAAATTGAGAATATGTTAACATTACATCCAGCAGTGCTAGAGGCTGCAATTATTGGAGTACCTCATGCATTAGACGATGAGCATCCTCTTGCTTATGTTATCAAGAGACCTGGTGCCAAGGTACAATTTTTATAAGTATGATAAAATCGTAGAAAAAAGATTTACAAAAGAAAATTTGAATATTACTAATAGTAGAGAAAAGTCACCGATATTGACATAAGTTTCCTAAAGCGATACTCTCTTATTTCTCATAAACTAACTATTGCACTTACATATTAATACTAATAAAATCATAATCTGTTTTTTTTTTAGCTAATCAAAGAAGTACAAACTAATAATTCGCATATTTCTATACCAAATAAGCTAAAATCGAATTCTACGAATGTGAAAATAAAATTCTTATGATTTTCTTTACAAATTGCGTAGTTTGAATAATAGTGACTATATTATTGTGATAATAATTTAAATGCTTGTAATTTCTTACATTAATTTTATTTAAATTATTTTTTCTCATAATTTCTCATAATACGATTTTAAATTAAAAATTGGAGTGCAGCGAAAACCATCACACTTGTTTGTAAACCATGAAGCTAACTTAATCTTTATAATGTTGCTTTAGTGTCAAATAGCTCTATTGGAGCTAAAGACAATCATGTATATATGGAAAAATTCTTGGAAAATTATCGCATTACATATTTGCATCTTACAGAACAATATAAAGTAAATATGCATATAATTCAATAAAAATGTTTTGTATGATTGTAATGATTTTGTAATGAAGTGAAAAGATTCTGGAAAATCTTATATACTTCACTTGTAGGTACTTTATACAGATAATTCCTATAAAAGAAAAAAAAAGGATACGTAGGCATTACTGCCTACTGTTTGAAGCCCATTTTGTCAGACGTTCATTTTTACTTTGTTATGAAAAAATTAATTATTGCAAAATTACAAACAGTATTATAAAAACTGCATACTATCTAATAGAAGACACTTTTTAATGTATGTACTTATGTTTTTAAAATTTTATTTTTATCTTTTGTTTAAGAAATATTGTCTATAAACAAAGTAGTATCGACAATAGTATGACTTTCCTCTAAAATGATCTTGAATATTCCGCTAGATAAATTTTCTTGAAATATTTAGTAGATAGAGAAAATTACATTTATATTATAAAAATAAAGATATTGATGTGTTTTAAAAAAAATGAGAAAAAAAAATTAAAATATTTGTACACTAATTCGATCAAAATGTAATAAATAAGTAATAAATAACTCTAGTAAATACGCCGCGCTGGCAGCAAAAAAAATAGAAGGAATAGAAGTAATTTTCTCGCAACTACTCTGTTATATGCCTTTATATTATATTAATATTGTGTTATGATTTCAGTTTCTTATTGTTAATATTAATAAAATTATTGTGAATGGAATCGATTTGTCACTGTAATAAATAACGCCATCATAAATTATAATCTACATAAAATGCTCACTGTAGGGTGTGTAAAAGACTTAGTGGTTATTTCGTGATGCAGTAGTTATTACGTGTAAATGAAATAAGCAAAGCATGTTGTTATAGCAAAACACATGCTTTGCTTTCGTATTCTTTATTTAATTTGTTGTCTTGTATATTCCCTCGTTTGGGATATACGGCATTTTTAGCGAGCAGGATTTATGTCCAAAGCATACAAAGTGCGCAGATTGAATTCAGTGCATTAAATGCAATAAATGCATTATATGAAATATGTATCTCATGTCATAATACTTGTAATGTATGTAGATTGTAATTATTATTTATTATTTCATATAATTACCATTCTTATTTTTTAATAAAACTTTATAAACACATTTTATAAATTATTGTGTCATTTTACGTCTTATTTATATGCATTATTTGTAAATTTTTCATGAGTACATACTCTCCCTCTCTCTATGAGTAACTACATATCCCATCCCTATGGGATATACGACAAAAATACATATTTTAAAAAGTTTATTTTTTAATATGAAAAGTAAATATTCCGGATTTCTAATATTTTTTTCACAGTAATAGACAGTACAAAGTTTTTACTGATATCGTTTACTTTAAACATAGTAAATAATACTTAATAAATTAAGTTTTTGATAGGTACGACGTATATATCGGAGTTATCCTATCATGTAAAGGACCATCATGTAAATTTCATATTTTTTATTTTGTAATAAATTAAATTAAACATTATTTGATTTGGATTGAAAAAGGATATCATTAAATTTATATGTCTATTATTTTTTTAATAAAAAATAGGAAATATTTTTATGCATTAGAATAATCTTTCTTCGCACTGATTTAATTATTTTTGTACAGGTGACAGAACAGGAATTGATAGATTTTGTGGCGAGGAACATGATGGATCACTACAAACTACGTGCAGGAGTTATATTTCTGGACAATTTTCCATATACGGGTTCAGGAAAAATTTCAAAAAAAGATTTGAAAGAAATGATTAAAAAATGATAAAGTGCATTGATTAATAACGTAATTATATTTTTTTACACATAATAATGTGTAAATATATTTTATAAATATATATAATCTTATTATTTCAGAATGAAAGATATTAAAAATATGTATCTTTACACATTTTTATTACATGTCTCTATTTGATTTTTATTACGCATTTATTCTTATTCTTGGCTGTATAAACTGCAATATCATTGCAGTATTGAAAAGAAGTGTGTGACAACGAAGGATATAAAAACAATGCTCGAAACTATAAAAGTTGAGAAAAAAGTAATCTACATTTTTAAATAAACTTTTTTCTTGTATAAAAATTTTCATGTCAAATAATTAATGCTTGTTTATTTAACTATAATTGATCAATTAACGTCCGATCAAAAATATATGTATGCAGACTTAATCGAACATAATGTATTGAATAATCCATTCAAAAGGTAACGAACAGATATTTCTCATCGGATATTCCGATGAATTTATTTCCGACTAAATGTGATCGGATTTTTTTATCCGATCAAAATAATCCGATTGTTACATTTTGAATGAGAATCCGATCATTATAATCGGAAAAAGTCTGGATATTTTTGTCAATGTAATTGTGATCATAAAATCACCTATATGTTTCATGAAAATCAAGTATGCACGAGTATGTCGAATATAACTGAAATAACGCCCACTAATTATACAGTGCTATTCCTAATAAAAAACAAGAAGTATAGGACATATAAGAGTCAACGTAATTAATTATAAATGCAAGAACTGTAATGATATATAAAATGTATTTAAAAAATTCTATAAATAACACATTGTAAAACATATTACATGTTTTGGCTTTTGGATTGAGCCATCTTCAGATAAAACAAAATTCACAACCTTAAATTCATTTCCATTGTCATAGAAAAATCCTGAAGAAAGTTATCTTCTTCGTTATCGCAATTAATATAGTGATATTGATAAATGCGGAGACCATGAATTACTTGCAAGCGATTTACTGACCGATTGTTCAGAATTTCATGATATTCTAATTTAAAAAACATGTGTTAATTAATAAATGAAAATAAAAAAATAAAATAAAAATCTAAATAAAATAAAAATCTATTTAAAATGTTATTTATTTTTAAAATTCTGTAAAAACCAAATAAAAAAACATCATTTCAATAAAACATCAACGTGATCACAATTATCATTTCTTAAAAAGAAATATTTCGTCAAATTTATCATAAAATCATGTAAAATAAGAGGTAGTATACCAGTCAAATCTTCCAGAACAGGCACGGAGAGCCTTCGTAAAGCGTATACATTCATCGATTATAAATAACAAAATTTGACATTGTTCTTATCTAATCGTTTTGTTAATCTATTAATTGCCATTCAGATAGTGATAGTCTTATCGTTAACATATCTTCCAAAAAGATTTTTACGTTTCTAAATTTTTCTTTTTCTTTAAACCTATATATCTCGAAGTTTCTTAATTTTATTGATTTTTACACATTAGGGGCTTGCTCCTTAATCAATTCTCAATCGATTGAAAAAAAATTAATTGAAATATATCCATTTTAACAGAAGTTACGGATAAGATCCCAAGGATTCCAGTGTGAATATACAAATGGATGAGGTCCCAAGAATTTCAGTATGTATATCTAGAATACAAAAAACAAGTATGTATAGCTAGAGTTAAGATAAACATTGTATAAGTGCCTATATCTAGTATAACTAAGTACAAATTTACGTATTTGTAGGTATTGTACATAGTAAAAAACATTTTATATTTATGTTAGAAACGGTCCACTCAAATTCTTGTTAAAATCCTTGTTTTTTGTTTTGAATTTTAACATATCCGAGTTTTAATTTAACATATATATGATTGTGTTATTTAAATATTTTGTGTTAAATTAAAATTCAATATTTCTCACAATTCAACATTAAAATAACATAATTTATAGGTAAGGTAAATAAAACAAATAAAAATTACCAGATTAACTGTGACAAATTATTAAATATCATAAATTGTTATAAATAGCGTCTAGAGAATTCGTATCGTTTTTGATATTTAAATCATTAATTTGTTTCTTTATATAAATCATTTCCGATGTTAGCCTCTTATGTAGAAATTCTTCTAAAATATCTATATTTCTATATTCTCTAGACGCTATAAATATCTATATTTTCTAATTATTATTTATAATATTTATTTATTAAGTTATTTATAATAACTTATTAAGGATGTGATACTTCCCTTATTGTCAACATTATATATTGCTTATTGTTAGTCTCATTTGCGCTTGGTCATATGTAAGCGAACAATAGAATTGATAATTTTTATGAACGATCCAACTTTATGCCTGCATCACGTAGTGAATGAAGTAGTGAATGAAGAAGTTTAATATTTTATTAGTCATTATTTATCATCTTATTATTTATTATATATTATATATGTTTTTTAATTATTTATTATATATATCTGTATTTATTATATATTTATGTATTTATTATATATGTCTGTTCAATTTCATGTTTAATACTTTGTCATAGATCATAGTTAACCTGATAATTATAATGATAGGCAAATTCGAAGATCGTAATAATCTATGTAATTTGACATGTAAGTCCAATGTTTTAAAAGCTATTAGTTATTACATATGTTTGTCTAATGCGATATTTAATATTTTGTCACAGTTAATTCGTCAATTATAATAAAAATATGCTAGAATAACAAAATATTATATCTACAACACAAGATACATATGTTCGCATAATTTGGTTAATATAATATGTTAGTATGAGTACTTAAGATTTCTAAGTTAATTTAAGTTTAATTTAATTAGCGATATTGAGAAGGATCTGAAGTAGGATTGAAATGTTTATCTTTGTATTTTGAGTTATGGAATAAATTTATCACACATGTACAGTTCGGCTCTCATTAGGCATGTGATTACTTGATTTAAAATTAATTAATAGCTTTATAAGTGTTATTTCATCTTATTGTTAAACTCATCACTTAGAATATTTATGCATGTATATATAAAATACATATAATATATAAATATTATGTGTGGATACATGAAATTATAAATACCTTTTTATTCCGAAATTTTACGTTAATAAATAAAAGAAAACCTATATCATTTAAAATATCTGTATTTAGGTATTTTATTTTTCTAATACTTGTAAATGTACTTATATAGGTACTGAAAGTAAAGTACACAATATTCATTAAGATTTGCTGTGAAATTCTGGTATAGAAAATATGTCAAACATTAAAGATAGATACATTCAATTATTTACTTAAGAATTTTTTTATATTTAATATACAAAAAATTCTGAATAAAGAATATTATTCTAATATTTCTTATATACACATATACTCCTAATATAATAAAATTAATGATGATGAAACTTTACAGTGTCGAAATGATACTGTAAAGTTAATATGCACATTTCGTGTAGGCTTAGCATTATTTGATGGAGAGATATCATAGATATCTAGAGACACGCGTAATAAATACTCGATAAATACTTGTCAGCTTTTAATAACGTTCATAATTGTTATTAATCAATTGTCTATTGAATGTATATCGGAAAGAATGAGCTTTGCGTAATGGAAAAAATTTTCATCAAAAACGGGATTTTCTTATTCATTACAATCAAATAATTTTATTTAATTTTGAAAATTCTATTTCATTACATACGGATACTTTTATATTTTCCGAAGATATTGTGTATTCTTTACAACTTTAAATTTCTTTTATAATTTCTTATATAATTTCTTTTATATATAAATATGATGTATCATGTATCTATGATTATTACATTTAAAAAATCGTAAATGATTGTTGTAAAACACCCGAGAAAAAATGTTTCATATATAATTATATAAAATTATATATAATTATATAGAAAATTGACATATTTTATAAACAATTATATGTATATACAAAATATGTCCATATATAACATTTTTTCTCGGGCATATAGATCTTTAGACATGTAAGATAAAAGTGATAACCAATTAATATTGTTTATCACAACATTTTTCATGCACTATTGTATAAGAAACAACGTTTTTTAATATTATTGCAACATTGCACATTAATATGAACGTAGTTTACCGTTGCTTATCAAATATCTAATAGTGAATAACAATTAAATCAAATAAAAAATCAAGATAATAAACTATTTGAGATAATAAACCAAATTTAATACATTATTTTAAGTTATATTATTTAACTTCATTGTGTTTTTATTAAATTAATGATACATTGAGTAGTCATAAATATAATTAAAAATAGTTCAAATTGGGTATAATTTGTTGCATCCAGATTTTCACCATGGAAAATGTTTTACGAAGAGCAAGCGCAGCATAAGTTGAGTAATTATAAAAGTTTAGGAGAATTAATGTGGATTACATTAAAAACCATGGGGATAAAATCGCACAAGTAAGTAAAAAATTACAATTTGGAATAATTGCAGAATCAGTCCTAATACCAGTAACAATTTGTTTTATTTGTCTTTAATATATTACTAAAGAAAAATTATCTTAAAATTTTTTAAAAAGTCGTTTTCACAATTAGATAAATACGTTGAAGCTATTATTTCGGTACATTATCTAACGTCTCAAACATGGTTTATCAGACGTTAAAAAAAGAATTCATTTTTAGGACATTAAAATTTTAAATAAAGTTTAAAAAAATTACTTAAAAACTAATTTAAATTACTTAAAAACTAAGTACAAATAATTACAGAAAAGTATGCTTAAATTTTATTTAATTTTGTTTTATATATAT